CCAAAATATGACCTTGAATATATCCCACCAGAAATTAGAGATCATCTGAAGAATAGATTTGGTACATTAAACACTAAAGACCAAAGACAAGAAGAGTTGTGGGATCACATCAAGAACATCAAACAGGAAGTAAGCAAAAAGTTATTAAGAAGACAAGAAAGAAGGAAAAGATCAAAATGGATGTCATAAGAGACACTGAAACTTGCTCTCCAGCATAGAGATGGTAAAGAAAATGGAAGAAATAAGAGTGTACAAGAGCTGAACAGAAAATTTCAAAGGTCAGCTAGAGAATACAAAGTCAAATATTACAATGAAATGTACAAAAATCTGGAGTCTGAAAACCAAAAAGGAAGACTGTGCTTAGCATTTCTCAAGCTGGGAGAACTGAAGAAAAAATTCAAGCCTCGACTTTCGTCACTGAAGGATTCACTGGGCAAATTATTGAATAATGAAGAAAGCATGAAAAGAAGATGGAATGAATACACAGTGCCACGGTACCAAAAGGAAATGGTTGATGTTCAACGATTTCAAGAGGTTGCATATGATCAACAGCCAATCATACTGAAACCAGTTCAAGGTGCATTGAAGGAACTGGCAAAGAACAAGGCACCAGGAATTGATGGAATACAAGTTCAAATCTTTCAAGAAAGTAATGTGGCACAAGAGGCACTCACTCATCTATGCCAAGAAATTTGGAAGACAATTATGTGGCCGACTGATTAGAAGACATCTGTATTTATGACCATTACAAAGAGAGGTGACCCAATAGAATGTGGAAAGCATGTACAATATCTTTGACATCCCACGTGAGTAAAGTTTTATTCAAGGTAATACAGAAATGGCTGCAAGCATACATTGACAGAGAACTTGCAGATGTTCAAGCTGGATCCAGAAAAAGATGTGGAATGAGGAACATCATTGCTGATGTCCGCTGGATCTTGGCTGAAGGCAGAGAATACCAGAAAGACGTTTATCTGTGCTTTATTGACTATGCAAAAGCTTTTGATTGTATGGATCATGACAAGCTATGGGTAACATTGCGAAGTATGAGTATTCCGGAACACTTAATTATGCTCATAAGCAATCTGTACATGGACCAAGAGGCAGTTGTTTGAACAGAACATGGGAACACTGAATGGTTTAAAATTTAAAAAAAGGTGTGGGAAAAGATTATATTCTTTCACCGTACTTATTCAACCTATATGCTGAGCAAATAATCCAAGGACCTTGGGTTATATGAAGAAAAACATGGCATCAGGATTGGAGGAACACTCATTAACAACTTGCAATATGCAGATGATACAGCCTGGCTTGCTGAAAGTGAAGAGGACTTAAAACATTTACTGATGAAAATCAAAGAGCACAGCC